CGCGATATTTTCGCGTAGATCACGAACGAGAGAAGATGAAAATATCGATCTAACTTGCTTCTCTAGGCCCTCGATAGATGAAGATAACATCTGACGTTGGTGAACGCAGGCTGCGGGGGGTCGGTTCTCTCTCGCAACAGGTCTCGCAACGTGGTATGTTCCTACCTGTTACGAGTGTTCTCGGAGGCCACGTCATTATAATGTTAAACGATTCGGGAGAGGATCGAGAGATCGATGCTTGCATCAGCTCCCAGATACAATTCTATCTCGAAGTAGAACGGAATTTCTTTCTTTCTTCTTCTTTATCTTTCTCTCTCTACTCCCATTTTTCGCTCGTGGAGATTCGTGGTCTCTTGTCCGGCGTGGACACTTCTCCACATATGTGCTTCTTGCACAATGATCTTCGTTCGATTATCGATTCGTTTCGTAAGATTGTTCGACGTGTTCGTTTGAAAAATTGCTTGCCTTCGTTTCGTTATTTTTTTTTTGTACTATTTAATCTTACGAAGTGAATGATTTTAAATAGCAATCAACACGAATTTTTAATATTTCAATTAGAAAAAATCTAATATCTCGATCGATTTTCGAGATTGATTAAAAGTAATTAATCTCATATAGACGTGATCTCATATCGTTAGAGAATTTATTCAAATATCGGATAAACAAAAGTCGGTATATATATTTTAATAATCAGTGTGCGATAAATTGATAAGCGTGATACGATCGAGTGATTCATCCACGGCGTATTGTTTTCACTGTTTTATTCCACCGTGACAATATCACGAGATACCACGAGAGTCGCGCTTTCCCTATCGCGGAAGGTTCGCATTGCTCGAATAATTACATTTCAAGGGGCGTGTTTCACGATCGATTAAGCAGGTTCTCCACCGCGGCGACACGCCGAAATTAATTCCACGGCGTGTGTTTACCCGATTTCGCGTAGGGCCGACATTTATTTCTTTTTCACCGCCGGTGGATATCATTAATTATTCAGCGTGCGTGCGTGACGCAAGTCGATCGCGGCACAACGTTGTCGTCCAGTGTCTAGCAAGCCTTAGCATGCCATTATCGAGCATGATCATTGTGTCACGAGCAAGCGGCAATTACCCCCGCGTATCCGATTGTCACGCCGTGATAATCTCTTAATCCGATGACATTTTGTCAATACGAAATTCAATGGATTTTACAGGATGATAATTATTCGTTTCAAACCATTGCCATTTTTACAATTTTCAACCCGATCTCTGTATTTTTCCGATGTTAAAATATATATTCGCGATATTAGCAGATACGTTTTCAATTTGCATGTAGATTTATTTTAATTGGTATTTGCCGTATATTAGTATTTTTTTATAGAACGAGACACGATGAGTTAATCTTATTTTTGCCTTCGATGCATATTTTATTCAGATATTTCGATCGTTTGTGTTTGTATTTTCTTTAAAAATTGTTGAAATATTTTGCACATTATATATCCAAGTTTTAGATGAAACTATGTAACTGGTTATCAACGTTTATTCATTTTCCATTCTTTCCGCTCTTCTTTCTTTTCGACATCAAAGAAGAAGTTCTCTTCACTTTGAATTTATTTTCTTCCAAACACATCGATATATTCTTATTTATATCTCTTTTATCATCGTCTTTTGATTGCGAACGCGTTGTTTATTCAACAGAAGCGAGTACACACCGTCTTCCTATCACGATCCCCAAACTCGCCAAAGAGAAACCAGCAAGAACAAACTCGGCAACGGGATCAAAAAGAGTATAATACCCACACGATCGCAATTCGTGGCGAGTCACACGCACGTTGTAACGCGTGCACGGTTACATAAGATCGCGCGGGTGTTCGCCGTTATCTGATTGTCTCCGTGGATCTGGCCAGAAGTCGTTTCACGAGAGTTATGCGAGCGTCATTACGAAGTGGCATGGAAGGGAATGAAACGAAAAAGAAAAAAAAAAAAAAAAAGAGAGAAGAAAAAGAAAAAGAAAAAGAGGAAGAAAGAAGGAATAAAGAATAAAAGAAAGAGAAACGAGAGACGAACAAGCGAAAGAATCGGTGTAATTGCGTAAAAGGGGACGCCTCGAGAGACCTTCCCTTCCTTTTTCTCAATTTTTTTCTTCGCGTTTAAAAAACAAAATGAAGACCGAAACATTCCACCTTAATTACCGCCCCTGTTAAAAATCAAGCTATTTAATATTGTCACGCGAACTCGACGCCTCCGTAGTCGAACATACCCTTCTTATTGCGCAACCTATAAAATTAATAACAGAAAGTCTCGGCCGTTCGCATTTGCGTCACGTTATAAATCCTCACGAGCTGTTTCGAATGTGCTGTCGGAGGATCTGCACGCTGGTGTGCCTTGTTCGATCGAAGCGCCAGTTCAGATTTGCCGTAAATTTTTGACGAACAAGTATTGCTACTTTTTTGCTTCTAAATCGAATATAATGTTTAAAGTTTAAATGGATAAATTGTTGGCGGAAGAATTTCTCCATTCGTGCAGAAACTAGCAGAAGATTAATCATTTAATTTTTTGAAAATGTAAATATCACTTGTCGTTAATCATTTGATTAATGGGAAGATTGAGGATCATTTAGAAAATGGAATTTAATTTATATCAATGTTTGTTTGTAGGAAATTTAAGTGATCAAGAATATACAAATATATACGTTAATTTGACTGCAACTCTGAAACAATTAAATAATTCATCATAAAATGTATAATACGAGAGAAACATTTCGAAATATTGCAAATTTTATTCTATTTCGATTCGAAATAAATCTTTTCGGTTCTTTAATCGGAGATATATTGGAAGAGAACAGGTAACGAGCTCGTAGATCCGTCAACTTTATGAATAGCAAATATTCTTGAAGTACTTATCTAATCAGGACGTGTTCTATTAGCCGAAAATGCGTGTGTAAATTGTTAATAAAACAGCTGCGTGTTTCGTGGTTGATAAAAATCTCGAGATCTGGCAACGAGAGCCTCGTAATTTCAGCTTAATGAAATTCATTCGTCGGTCGTCGAGCTGTTTAAGATAAATAAATTTCGTTTATGCAGCAGTTAGGGGAGGGAAAATGGCGCGATTGTGCTGCTCGCTGGACGTGTCGTTCAACATAGTAGATTTCTTAACCTGGCTTCCCTAGAATTTGTAAATCAACGCGAAGTGGACGGTATTTGTGTGTGTGTGTATGTGTGTGTGTGTGTGTGTGTGTGTGTGTGTGTGTGTGATTCACGCCCACATTCACGACCGTAGCTGCCAACTATAATTGACTTCGTATTGAGATTTATTCGGTTCGCGGTGATCCCTTAACAAAGATTTCTTCAGGGTTTATTGGCTCGTGTTGCGACATAAACGCTCGTGGTGACCACCGTGGTGTGTAATTAAACCAACGTCGTACTTTATTACAATCTTTTCATTTGAATCGTATCGATGATTTGTTGATTTTGATATGATAGGTTTTGCTTGAACGAATTATGAATTATCGTTATAACCTGTTTTTCTTGATAGTTCAATATCGGAATGTTCTTTCATCGTTTAATTGTTTATGATATTTTCTTTTTGTCAATACACGTGTTCACTTTATTTTTTTCAAAAGAATTTCTTAACCAAGATTCTTGTAATTCAAATTTAATTTATGGAAAAATTTGAAGGAAATAACGATAGAATCGAATAGAAATTTCCAATTTGAAGAATCGACAAATTCTTCAGAAATCTTCGTAACAAAAATAATTCGAAGAACAGGTTGAAGAAACTCGATGCAACTCGATGTTCCGCTATCTCTTTGTCAATGCTGCAATATATAAAATAAGAAAAATCGAAGAAAGAAGATAAAGGGGAGGAGGAGGAGGGGGAGGCATGTTTTATCAAAGAACGAAATTAGTTCTGCACGTAAGACAAGGGTAATGCAATGTGAGGAGACGAGGAGGTGAGAACGAAAAGCGAATCGAGCAAAGCGAATAAAGTCAGCATCTACCGACCAGAGGCCGTGGATTTATGGTCTGTTTTATGCCCTGTTTGTACAAGAAACACAGAAGACCCCTTGATTATTTCCTAGCTCGCTTTTACGTTTCAATCTAGCTTCTTCGAATATCGTTTTCGCTCGAGTTTCTCCACGTAATCGGTTTACCATTAACATGTTAGAAAATTGAACGACTCATCGAGTCTGTAACTACAATTATAACTTTCTTGACTTCTTCTTTTTCGTGACGATACCATCGAATTTAATCCTTCCATCTTGTATCTTCCCATGAAAATATCAGTTATTCATTTCTCGAAGTATTTCTCAAAAACAAATCACAATTCGTTTTCATTTCTCAGTGTAAATTTTTTTTTAAGAACGCTAGTTTTCTTAATAATATCTCACGCGTGCCGCTGTCGATTGTCATCGAATCGAAAGGAAAAAAAAAAAAAAAAAG